CTCAGTAAAAAGTGGGGATAATAGAGGTAAGTAGGACAATCTTTGGGTCTGGTACGCAGTATCTGCTATATAAGCATTTGCTATTTGCTGCTAGGCCTACCATGCATGGCTTTTAAAACATGCTTGCAAACACTGTCTAAATAATCCATCCTGATTGTTGCTGAGACGCAGCATCAGACTCACCAATCTATAGTTTTTGAAATTGGTGTTGACTGTACTTGGGCTTCACGGAGCACCTTTTAATGCCTCTGAAAACCTGTGGTTTTCTCCATGTTTCTAAAAGAACAGGCTTTTGAGAAAAGCTTTTGGAAAGACTTCCTCTGTTCTTAGGTTTAAGATTTCAAGGTGGGAGATCACTAGGAAAATAAAAATTTTGATTTTGTTGTCTATCAGTATTTCAAGTACAGGTTAACATTTAGAGGTTTAGTTATCAGAATGGTCTATATCAGTGGTTCTCAATCAAGGGCAACTTTGTGCCACCCGCCACCTGCCTGCAAGCAGTGAGCAATGTCTGGAGAAGTTTTTGATTGTCACAAACTTGGGAGAGGACTGTTACGGTCACCGAGAGTATAGAAGCCAGAGATGCTGCAAAACACCCCACAATGCACAGGACAGCCCCCCTCAACAAAAACAATAATCTGGCCTCAAATGCCAGTAGTGCTGAGGTTGTGAAGCCCTGGTCTGTTTTTCTCCTGCCCAGTCATTTAGTGTAATTGATTCATGGTCCTAATTTTAGTGAGTTATGTAGAAAAGCAATGGTAAACTGAAAGGGGAATAGTAATATCCACGTTATTTGAGTCATCGATTCTGAAGAAAAATATAAACTGTGTGGTTATGTTTGAAAAATTGTGTGCCTATAATGCCCCTCTAAGGTTATTCAGAATCCTCTCCAATATATCCCAATTGCACATATTCCTATGGCTTGATAATTGACTTGTTTATTTTAGATATCTCGTAACGAGAAGGGGTGGAAAAGCTGGTTTGATAAAGATGCTCCAGAGGAAGAAATTATCCCTGATGGATATAACAATTCACTGGATACCTTCCGCAAACTTTTACTTATCAGGTGAGAATAGGTATTAGCAGAGCTAGAAGCATCACTTCTCATAGTGTCAAATCATAGATCTTACCTCGGTGAGTTTACCCTCACTGTGTCCCAGTAGTTATTATAAGAAATGTGTGTGCTCCCAAATTGCAGTTTTGGATGGCAATTCTTTAGTTCCTTGACAAGCAAATAAAATGCTGATGGTGCAGGGAATGGTACGTTTTGACAGCGTATTGATAATAATGCTTTTAGAGAAAAAGCATGAAAAATATGCTCCTATTATTGACTTTATTCATTATTTATTGTTGAATTTACTTCTTTAAAAAATATATCCCCCAAAGTTACAAAGCAATTAGTTTGTAAGCTGAAATTCAAGTCCACCTGAGAAAAAACAACAAATATTGCATTATTGAAATATATAAATGCTGTTTTGACTATTAAAATGAAAGCAGAATTGATGTTATGGAAGAACATTCTTATTTCTTTTCTTTTGTTTCTCACTGTTCATGTTTTTTCAGTATCCAGTAGCTCAAGGAAGGCTTCTGTATTAGAAGATAAGTGTAGGGTGTGTGTGTGTGTGTGTGTGTGTGTGTGTGTGTGTGTGTGTGTGTTTGTGTGTGTGTGTGAGAGAGAGAGACACAGAGACAGAGAGAGAGACAGAGAGACAGAGATTGGTGGGCAAGGCAGGAGGCCTGAGGTGGGAGGAGAGGAGACCACTGAAAGAATAACAAAAAGATGTTGGATGATTTTGGAGCAGTGTTTGTCTTTCCTAATGTTACATATCTGAGTTTGCATTTCTCACAAAAAGTTGTTTCCTGGATGTTTGTTGTCACTCTCTGAGAGTGATCACAGACAGCAATCAGCCGCAGTGACTTCATGACCTACAGAGTGTGACAGAGCTGCTTGTTCTTATTGGAATAGATGTGTCTCTCTTTTATCCATTATGTTGAATTTGAATCTCTGTCAAATGAACAGTGTAATCTGTAGAATTTGTCTGTGATCTAAGATATCAACTATGAAATGACATGATTTAATGTGTCGCTGTGTTTAGAACCTACTACAGTGCAGGCTACACAGATGGTGTTAAATAAATGCTTGCTGATTAACCTACTTCTAACCCCTTTGGCACATTAATTCTCCCCCTGAAGACTGCAGAGCTTCAGAGTGTGTGGCCTTGGCCCCCACCATGCGGAGCTGGCAGAGGACACCTCCTTTTTCATCCTGCTACATCCTCAGCACCTATAGCAGGGTCTGACATGTAGTAGGCACTTGATAAATATTTGTCAAAGAATAAATGTGCGCCTGTGTATTAGTTTCAGTGAGGAATTGCTTACCTGAAGCTTACCAGAATTCATCATCAATGTGTTTTTTTAAAAATAACCAATTAAAGCTTCAGAGTAGTTGCTGCTACTTCTGAAAACGAGACATTTGAATCAGCTGACTTCTAAGTTCCCTTCCATATTGGCAACAGACCATGTTTTTACTGGCTCTGTCCTTTTTACCAATGCTTAGCCCCAAACCACATGCGTAAATCTACACTCATCCAAGGATAGAAAACCTTGCCATCCCCCTCTTCCACAGATCTACATAAGGGAGAATTATTTTTTTGTCCTTTGCTAATTAAATAGATTCTTTACATGCTTAGAATTAGATGGAATAAGAAAATGAACAGACTAAATGTTTTCCTCTAACTTGTATTCATTTCTAGGTCTTGGTGCCCGGACCGTACTGTTTTTCAAGCCAGAAAGTATATTGCAGAGTCTTTGGAGGATAAGTACATAGAACCGGTTATCTTAAATCTGGAGAAAACATGGGAAGAAAGTGATACGCGAACACCTCTGATATGTTTCCTGTCCATGGGCTCCGATCCCACAATTCAAATTGATGCATTGGCCAAGAAACTGAAGCTGGGTATGGTCAGCAATCGATGAAATTTAGCAAAACCTCCACATATTTGCCTCAAACTCTGCCTTTCATAATTTCATACCTGATTCTAGAAATATATCCGTAAAACTGAGTAAGGTAAAAACACTAAACTCCTTCCTCTTTCCTCCTTTTTCAGAGCTCCTAGAGTTGAAGGTGTGATAGCAATATCTTTATACAGAGAGGAACCCACTCATCAACCACGTACTATTTTTCTTTAGGTTGTAAGCAGGTGGCCGTACTACATGGATGGTCCACTGGCAAGCATTAACACACGAGCAAATTTTATTGCCATGTCTATATAGAATTACAATGAAGTCTATTTTGGTCACAAATTAACACACTATAACCATTATCGTAATGTATAGTAATTGGGGATTCACTCATTTGTGCTTTCATTCAATAACCATTTAGTACAGGCAGACAGACAGTGTGGTAGATTCGGGGAGTATTCACTCAGAGATGAATACAGTGTAGCTGGAAAAGACAGACATGTAAACATGTTAACTGAAGACTGTGTGATGACTGTGATGACAGAGGTCCGTAGACATGCCTGATTCCAAGATCCAGAACTACCCAGACCGCATGGGGTACAGGGGAATGCATCATACTGATGATGTTTTAAGTAAATTTTACCAGATGGGTTGGTGGGAAATAAAAGGAAAGTTATTCTGGAGGAAGGAGACAGGGCAAGGAGTTATAAATGCTGCAGTGGCGAGAGCAGTGACGGGGTCACCAGGACTAAAGGACAAGGACCTGCATGATGCAGAGCCCATCCTGGTAGGACCGAGCCACCCTCTTGGAGGATGGCTGTTCATCTGCTCTTCATCCTCGGAAAATCTGAATGTTCTTGGAATTGCTGTTTAGGATCTTCCAGGTTCAGATCTCTAAAGCTATACCTAGTCGGGTTAATTCATTCATGTCTTTATAAAGATTATAAAAGTGGTTGATTATGAACCACTAAACCTACCCTATGAAATAAAACTTACACTGAGTTTATTATACAGGTAATATGAACACGATATAAAATTAGCTCAGTCATCTCCAGGTATTTGCCCCATGTCCCACTCCACTAAGAAGTCACTGTAAACCATTAGCTTATTACCATAAGCATGGTCTATGTTCACGCACACTTTTGTCATCTTCACTTTGTTCATTGTTACCACACCATTCTATGTTCTGTATGGATCCATGTTTGAATGGCTCTCTTGGCAATTGCTTATGGTTAAGTCTCATTAACCACCTTTAAAATAGGCTGTTTTGCTCTGGTTTAGAGAACTGCAGCATGCTTGTCCTTTGCATTGGTCTAAGAATGGTGCTTCTTTCACAGCCTTGTAGCTTTACAAATCTGTTGGATCTATTCCTCCATGGGCCTTTGTCCAGCTGCTTCTATGCCCCACTTTTCTCTGCATATAGGTTCCTTTTATGCTATGTTGCCACAAACAAATCTCCATGTGACAGAACTCATGGCCTCTGGTGGCTCTTGGGCTTACATGTTCAGTAAGTAAAGGGAAACTCCCCTTACTCTCTTAGCCCCAAGTCCAAATATCTAGGGAAGACATTAATTGGTTTTGCTTTGGTCATGTGCTCCTTTCTGGGCCAATCAATGAACTGTTGCTGTGGAGATGGGTTTATAGCAGGAACCACATATATGGAGCTAGAGTAGGGGGCATTTCTTATTATAGAAGAAGGTACTATTTCTAGAAGAAGGGCATGTTCCACTAGAGTTACCATTTCAAATGTTAATGTTTTTGTCTAGGACAAAGATTTTGACAATAGAATTTAAAAATTCAAGGTCTTCTGTGAGAGAAATTATAACTGAGAAATTATGACATTAAATAAATACATAAGGCCAGAATTGTGCTGTCACCTTTAGTGTTGTTGCATGTTATACTGCTTTGCTTGGCAAGTTGGTAATTTCTACTACTTTCTTTTTCCAAGGATTGTTCAAGCTCCTTCTATTGGTTACTTTGTTAGGAGACTGAAACAAAGTAGATTTGATTTTAACACTGAAGGGCCCAATGAATTATACAGAACTCATAGGTAAATCATTTTTAGGAATGTTAGGAAGTCATTCCCTGTTCATTGCTTTGGGTTAAAAATCCCACAAATAGGTGTGAAAATAAAACTATTATGTAGATGGAATAACATATTAATCTAGTCTCAACTAGAAATATTTCATATGGATAATAGATAATCATAGGTAAATAGGACTCTGGAAATCTTGAAATCCATCTATCTTATTATACACCTGGAGGAACTAAGGTCTGCAGATAAGGCCAGAGAGATTAGTTGGTGACTGATCCAATTCAGGACTCATTTCAGGGCTTCCCAACCACACTTCAGTGGCCTTTCTCTTTAATTCCTTCTCACTGCCTTTATTGGATGAATTAACCAGTTACCTGACAGCAACTTGAGGGATGGGACCAAATCAAGTAAGTTATTGTAGGAAAAGAGGAGAAAGAAAACGCAGTACACATACTGTCTGGTGCCTGTCAAGCTCTGTAGTGAGAGATTTGGAGAAGATAATTTTGCACAAAAGCTCTGGGTGCCTGGGGAAAAGGTAGAAAACA